TCGTGATGCTGCTGCGCCTGCTGCTGGCCTGGGCGGCCACGGTGCCCACGCTGGGCCAGGCCCCCTGGGCTGCCGAGCCCCGCGCCGCCTGTGGCCCGGGCAGCTGCTACGCGCTCTTCCCACGGCGCCGCACCTTCCTGGAGGCCTGGCGGGCCTGCCGCGATTTGGGGGGCGACCTGGCCACGCCACGGACCCCCGAGGAGGCCCAGCGTGTGGACAGCCTGGTGGGCGCTGGCCCAGCCAGCCAGCTGCTGTGGATCGGGCTGCAGCGGCAGGCCCGGCAATGCCAGCCCCAGCGCCCACTGCGTGGCTTCACATGGACCACGGGAGACCAGGACACGGCCTTCACCAACTGGGCCCAGCCTGCCACGGGCGGGCCTTGCCCGGCCCAGCGCTGTGCGGCCCTGGAGGCAAATGGTGAGCATCGCTGGCTCGAGGGCTCGTGCACGCTGGCCGTCGATGGCTACCTTTGCCAGTTCGGCTTTGAGGGCTCCTGCCCAGCATTGCCAGAGGAGGCGGGCCAGGCGGGCCCGGCTGTCTACACCACACCCTTCCACCTGGTCTCCACTGAGTTTGAGTGGCTGCCCTTCGGCTCTGTGGCTGCCGTGCCGTGCCAGGCTGGCAGAGAGGCCTCTCTGCTGTGCGTGAAGCAGCCTGAGGGTGGTGTGCGCTGGTCGCGGGCTGGGCCCTTGTGCCCAGGTACTGGCTGCGGCCCGGACAACGGGGGCTGTGAACACGAGTGCGTGGAGGAGGTGGATGGTCGTGTGTCCTGTCGCTGCACTGAAGGCTTCCGGCTGGCAGAGGACGGGCGCAGCTGTGAGGACCCCTGCACCCACGCCCCGTGTGAGCAGCAGTGCGAGCCTGGGGGACCACAGGGTTACAGCTGCCACTGTCGCCTGGGTTTCCGGCCAGCCGAGGATGAGCCCCACCGCTGCGTGGACACAGATGAGTGTCAGATCGCTGGTGTGTGCCAGCAGATGTGCGTCAACTACGTCGGTGGCTTTGAGTGCTACTGCAGTGAGGGCCACGAGCTCGAGGCTGATGGCATCAGCTGCAGGCCCGCTGGGGCCATGGATGCTCGGGCTTCCCAGGACCTTGAAGACGAGTTGCTGGATGACGGGGAGGATGAAGAGGATGAAGAGGACGCCTGGGAGGACTTCGATGGTGGCTGGACAGAGATGCCCGGAATCCCGTGGATGGAGGCCACACAGCCACCTGACTTTGGCCTGGCCTATAGACCTAGCTTCCCAGAGGACAGAGAGCCTCAGAGGCCCTACCTGGACCCTACCTGGCCACCCCCGCTCAGTGCCCCTAGGATCCCTTACCACTCTTCAGTGCTCTCTGTCACCCGACCCTTGGTGGTTTCTGCCACACGCCCTACACTGCCTTCTGCCCACCAGCCCCCTATTATTTCTGCCACACGCCCGCCCCTGGCCCCTGCCCCGCAGCCCCCCAGGATCCCTGCCATGCATCCAGCTTTGCCCCCTGACCACCAGCTCCCCATGATCTCAGCCAATTATCCAGATCTGCCCTCTGTCCACCAACCCCCCATTATCTCTGCCACTCACCCAGCACAGTCCCCTTCCCATCAGCCCCCATATATCCCAGCCAAATACCCTGAACCGCCCCCTGCCCACCAGTCCCCTATGTTTCCAGACAGCCAGGTCGCTGATACCCAGACAACCACTAATTTGCCTCAAATCCCAGCTAACCACACCCCTCTGGTCACCACCTCAAGTGCCCACCACTCCCCTGTGACCCCAGATGTCCCAGTCCTCAAAGCCCAGGCCAACCCCCTTCCCATTACCTCGACTGTCCAGCCCTCTCTGACCACCACTACCAGGTCCCCTGTGCCCCCTGCCCATCAAGTCCCTGTGCCTGCTGCCAGCCAGCCCCCAGGCCTCCACACTCCCCTGCACCCCACTAACCAGACCAGTGCCACCAGCACTACACGCACTTATTCCAAAGCCCCACAGGTCCCAAGGGAAAGCGCCTCTGATCCCAAGCTGGCCCCATGGCTGCCCTCAGCGGCCGCCACAGCAGCCCCAACAGCCCTAGGGGAGGCCAGTCCTGCAGGCCGAAGCCGGAGGGATGACCGCTGGCTGCTGGTGGCACTCTTAGTGCCAACATGCGTCTTCTTGGTAGTCCTGCTTGCACTGGGCATTGTTTACTGCACCCGCTGTGGCCCCCATGCATCCAACAAGCGCATTACGGACTGCTATCGCTGGGTCACCCACGCTGGGAGCAAGGGCCCAACGGAACCTGTGCCCCACCGGGGCAGCCTCACGGGGGTGCAGACCTGCAGAACCAGCGTGTGATGGAGCACAGCCCCCTTCTGTGGGGTGGGGGGCAGGGGCTTGCATTGGACACATGGCCCAGGCTGCACCAGTGACATATGGGAGCTGCCCAGATGGACAGAGAGCTTCCTGCTCCCCTGGGCCAAACTGGGCTCCTCTCTCAATCAACCATTAGACTTGATTTGTGGAAACTGTTCCCTGGCCTGGCACTCACGACAGAGGAGACGCCAAGGTCCCCATGACCTCAGGGGGTGGGTGCTGGGGGTCTCCTCCAATAAACAGGGTGCCAACCACACCCAAAGCTCCTGACCTCCATTGGTGTCTGAGGGGAGGGTCTGGGAAGACTCAGAAAAAAAGGAGGGGACCTTCCTTCAGCTTGTCTGGGCCCCCAAGGAAATAAGGTAAGACCCCTTAAGGGAGATACGTGTCAGAGCCTTGTCCGGGGTCATGCGAAAAGCCCAGGAGTGGGAGGTTTGGCATGCAGAGAATTCCATATCTGTTCTTTATACCAAAAAGGTGGGGCTGGATCTGGGGGAGGGTTCTAGAATAAGGGCTTCTGCTGAAATGGAGCCGAAGTGGGTTTTAGGCGTCAAAGGCGAGCTCTGGGCCTGGTGATTCTGGGGAGTGAAGACAGTCTAGTGGGAGAGTTTCTCTTTCCTTCTGGCACTTCCCTTCCCATCCCTGCAGGCTACCCAGAAGTTGGCAGCTGGGGCTCTGGGTCACTCAGGGGTGCTGTCATCCTCTGGATTGTAGGTTCTCCTGAGGCACTGCTTCTCCCCGCGCTAGGGAGGAGGTGGGAGTCAGAGCCTCGGGGCTGTGCTGGGGAGAGCACTAAGCCAGGAGAGAGAGAGAGAGAGAGAGAGAGAGAGAGAGAGAGAGAGAGAGAGAAATTGCTCAGAGGAAACAAGCAATTGAGGAATCAAAAACATATTTAAAAAAATAAACATTCCCATATATAAGAAAATATATTAAATCTGTACAGAAGGGAATAAGTGATATTAAAAGAACAGACACCCAGCTCCCTGGGCAGTCTCCTGAGTGAGGCCTTCCAATCTGGGTCATACTTCGCCCTTCCCTGTGTGGGCAGCGTGGGGACAGAAAGAACCCAAGAGACTCCAGCTTGACAGAGAGTTCAGGCTGCTCAAGTCTAAAGTGTCCCATGAAGGAGAGGAGGGGTTGGTCAAAGATCAGAGCCTGGGAGAATCCATCAACCTCCAGCGTCCTGGGCTCACTGCCTTGGGGGTGGTGTGGGG